CTAACACCCTATGGGAGAAATCTATATCTTTCATCTCATTGAATCCTCCAATAAGAATGGGAGGATGTTGCCAAGTGGCAACCACCTCATTTTCATTTCTAAAGTCTGTTTAGGGCTGGTTGTAATTTAAGTGATTACGAGCATGTACTTTCCGATTTCAGGTGTCATGCATACATGGTTTGCTTCAAGCGAAGGTTTTTTATTTTATTTTTTTATATTTTTGTGATTCTGGAATATTTCGAACAATAAATCTATCAAACTCATACCTTATCCACCATCTATCACCAGGCTAACCCCAATAGTTTTAGAACAAAATGTATTTTTTATCCTTCATTATCTTTGTTTTGCTAAATTCCTACATTATCTTCATGTTATTTTTGTTGGCTTACAATCATATCACATACATATTTTGGATTTAACTGGGATTGTTGTTACATTTCAAAGTGATGAAATAATTTCAAAATCATAGTTTGCTTTATAAGATTTGCACAATTACAAGTTTAAATGTCTGATATATCATTAATAAAATATTAATTGTTTGAGTGATAACAATAAAAATTGCTTTAGATTTCCCATTTGATTATATATATGATTGGATTAAAATAATGTTCTACTTCCTACGCACCAAATTATTTTAAATTTCTCTTCTTTATAGTTCAGTTAGTCAAAAACATTTGTCTTTGCATCTAAGATGTTGATTCGAATCTTCTCCTCATAGTTCAAATGAATTTAAATTAAATTATATTAGCGTTTGTTAAAAAAAAAAAACTAAAATATCGCTAAAAAAATGGTATGAACTAACCTAAGTAAGAATAATACTTGTGTTCTCCCATTGGGGGAATACACATATCTCACATTTTGCGAATAACGTATCTTTTCCTTATAAACTCCATAATCAGAATCTTTCAATTCTTAATCTTCATTTCAAGATCATCCCTATACAAAAATTATTCAAATCGAATGTCATTTAGTCATTCAAATGTGCCAAATAAATGGATTGTTCATTATGAATATATTACTTGGTGCTAACACCCTTAATTTATTTCATAAATTTATATGACTAAACGATATCCGATTCAAATAATTTTTTATAAGGATGACCCTCAAATAAAGATTAAAAAGTTAAACAGTTTCAATTATAAAATTTGTATAATAGTTAAGAAGTAGAATATGTCTCTTCTCCAAGAACAGAAGTAGTATCACAAAATAAAGAAGCCCGAATGCACCAAAAATGAAGGGGGGAAATTTCTTGTGATTGTGTTGGGCCAGGGCTGAACTAATCCAATTAAAACTACACGTGTCCCGGCCCAAAGGATCAAGCTTATTCCCTCGCTGACTTCCGAGATGCTCAAGGAAAAAGGCCCCCCCGTCTGTTTACCGACCCAGAGACATGCATAAAATATCGCGCAGGTTGCGACGTTGTTTGAAATCTACTTAACCTCGTCATCTTTGTTTATTCAAGAGCTTAATTATAAACGATAATTAAGCTCGAATTAGTGATTAATCAATCTCACAAGTTGAAGTTGCGACCATGACATGTCTATGAGTAGGAGGGGAAATTCGACAAAAAAAAAAAAAAGAGTAGGAGGGAAAAACTTTCGTAATTAGCTGGTTAGGTAACTTTCACAACGTTTGTTGTTATATGTGAAAAATAAAGCTGAAGGAACATTCTCTTTTTGAAAGTGCGTAACAATTAAATTATCCAACTAGTTAGGTTGTCACATTCAAGTTTTAAAAAAAATTAGCCACTTGCCATACCACGCCCATGTGTCAATTGGTCATTTTTATTGTTTTGTTTTTTTAATTTTGGGAATCCTAATTAAATGCTCCTGATATTGTTCACTTTTAACATTAATGATATTTTTATCTTGAAAAGTCACTTATGGTACTATTCACTTACACCTTTATTGTTGTGTCCTTTTGTCTTGAGTTTTATTTTTTTATTTTTAGTTTTCATCTTCTTTGAAAAGTAAATACCAAACAAGATTTCAGTTAAAACAAAAGTGAAAATTAAATGGTTGTCAAATAGTTGCTAGACCCACCTCTTGTCTTATTTATCCAACCACACCATAAAAAGTACAAAAAACCTAATCATCTTTTCCCATCCACTGTTATTCCTAAATATTCCTATGTTTGAAATTTAAAACAAAAATTGAAGAAGGAGAAAAAAGCACAATTCAACAACTACGTAGCGGCAGAACTCATTAGCCAACAACAACCAAACTCACCACCGCACCCCCCGTGGTTCTCCTCGCCATCAACCAAATTTTTTTCCTCCCATTTTCTTCTTCTCTTTCTCTCTTCCCATGATCCAAATATAAAGACCGTCAATATCAAGAACTATATTCAAACTTTTTGAGATTATTGCTAAGAATTGAAGCCCCTCACCATATATGTGACATCCCACATCGTCTAGGGGAGTAGATCTTGTAAGGCTTATATGTATATTCCTATCTCTACCTAGCACGAGGTCTTTTGAGAATTCACTGGCTTTGGAGTTCATAAGAACTATGAAGTTAAGCGAGTTCGTGCGAGAGCAATCCCACGATGGGTGACCCACTGGGACGTTCTCGTGTGAGTTCCCATAAACAAAACCGTGAGGGGGTGGTCGGGTCCCAAAGCAGACAATATCGTGCTACGGCAGAGTCGAGCCTGGGATGTGGTGGGGGTCCGGGGCGGGATGTGACAATTTGGTATCAGAGCCAATCCCAGGCTGGAAGTGTGTCGACGAGGACGTCGGGCCCCTAAGGGGGGGTGGATTGTGACATCCCACATCGCCCATGGGAGTGGATCATGTAAGCTTTATATGTATATTCCCATCTTTACCTAGCACGATGCCTTGTCGGAGCTCATTGGCTTCGGAGTTCATCGGAACTCCGAAGTTAAGTGAGTTCGTGCGAGAGCAGTCCGAGAATGGGTGACCCACTGGGAAGTTCTCGTGTGAGTTCCCAAAAACAAAACCGTGATGACGTGGTCGGGGCCCAAAACGGACAATATCATGCTACGGCGGAGTTGAGTCCTGGATATGGTGGGGGCCCGGGCCGAGATGTGACAATATCAGTTGCAAATCTTTCTCTATCAATAATAGAGAATTAGAGATAGATCTGATTTGGAAATACATGTTAAATATGTCGTTAGAATTTGTTCTTATGGTTTTTTATTAGGACTTAAAAGTCATTTTACAAAAAAAATTAAACATGTTTTTAAAATTTTCATAAAAAAAAAACAGGTGAGAAAATATGACATGTGAGTTGCTTGAGCAGCACTCTTCATTAATCTAGTTGTCTGGACTAATCCTGAAATTAAGATCAATAATCTAGCTATTAGAAAATTAGAAATAAACACCACGTGGTAAGCTCATGAGATTCTACAGTATCATTATTCCATCGTGGTAGCGAAATAGTTTTGCTTGTAGTCCTCAAATTACTGTTTTAATTACCTCAAGCTATTTATTTTATTAACAATTAAAAACCTGCAAGTCTTTCTAATTACTTGTTCACCTTAACTTACATAATTTCACCAAGTCAAAACACTAAAATAATCTCGATTGAGAAGAAAAATCAAACTACATACCTTCAGCTGTGTACATCAATATAACTTTACATATGTGACAAGTAGTTTCTCATCTTTGTCAGCCCCATTACTTTTTTATTTTTTTTAAAGAGAATAACCGGTGATTAAGTCATCATAATTTTTTTTTTGAATCAGAAAAACTCATAGAAACATTTTAGAATTTCCTTAATTATCATTGTGTGATTCTAGTACTAAAAATCAAATTCAAAACGAATAGTGTGAAATACGAATTTGAAATTTATCCCAACTGCTGAGCCATTTCGTGATGACTTTTTTTATCAGCTCCATTTTAAAGTTATATGTTTGTTTAGATTATTTGACAAATTGTTTAATCCAAAACAAGTAGCCAAACTAAAACGCAACGACTTTTTCTATGAACAAAACGAAAAAGGTTACGACTTTTTTGGAAACTAGCCAAATTATTCTTCGTTCGATTACATCCAGCTTAACATTTCTACAAATAAAACAAAATAAAATCGATGTTTTCATTTTCTGAATTGTATTATGTCAAGTTAAATAAGCGTTTATCTCATTAAGTGTTTTTTGTATGTATAATTTCCTTTTTTTGAGTTACAAGGAGGCTCAAAGGCCGAGCAAAACGCTAAACAAAAAAAACAAAAAATTCATCAACTAAAATGATTTACACAAATAGCAGAATTCCTAGCAACCCTAATTGAATAGTTGGATGAGGAGGTTCATCAAACACAACACATCCAAAGTTCAACAATAAAACTTATTTGAAACTACTTTTAAAATATCTAAAAGGGTTTTTGGTGAAAATATCTTTATAATCAATTCTTAATAAAAATATGAGTGAATCTTGAAAAAACACTCCTAATACTTTAAAACCCAAAAATATTTTTAAAGCATTTTCATTTATTTTAAAAATATTTTCAAACGAAACCAGCCTCATCAAACCATCATCCACCAAATTTCTTTCTGTCTGACTCAGTTCACATTGATCAAACCAAGAGACACGTCAGATGACAAATAATGATGATCCAATTCCATTTTTATTGTTTGGTTTCATTAAAACATCACATGTATTTTTCTTTTTAATTATAGGAAGTTTAGAGTGCTAAATAAAGAGCTCGTTTATATGTGCTTTTAAAATAATTGAAAACGCTTTTGATGAAAATACTTTCGAAAACTATCCTTAGTAAAAATATTAGTAAATCCTGAAAAATCACTTAAAGTGCTTCATAGGAGAATCACATAACTGGTGCTTCTTGTAGAAATCACTTAAAATACTTTTGGAACTCAAAAATATTTTTCTTTAAAAACGATTTCAGTCATTTTAAAAGTATATCCAAATGAATCCAAAAATTTTAAAATGCTAATAACAATTCTTAAAAAATATTATATTACAAAACAAGTGATATATAATATATATATATACACACACTTGGTGAGCCATGAATTACAAAACTTTCATAAGCACGTCACGTCATCTGCAACATTCATAAAACAAAGACGAGAGTCACGAGACACATTAATCGGAGCACCCGGAGGAACCTGAAAGCCCGACGGCGTCTATCCACGACAATATTCTCGTTCTCCGGTAATTGCCTCGCCGGAATGTGCTATATCACTCCGGTTCTCCACCTCCCGATTAATTTGGTGAATTTTAATTGCCGCAAATCACAGCCACGCGAATTGAATTTCCCAATTTTCAATTTCTGTTTATGCTCCATGATCCATCACTGATCACTCAGCACCCAAACAATGTCTTAGGGTTCATCAGTTACGTGTTAATTGGATTTAATTGAAAAAAGATTCGATTTTCATGCTTAATTAAGAGTACTGGAACTTGGGTTGATTGAGTTTTCTTCTAATTTGGTGTTATTTTTGAAAATTTTGGAGAAATTGAAGCTGAAATTGTGTTGCTTGATCGTGAAAGTTTGAATTTTCCGGGAATCGGAAAGTTTGGTTCTGTGATTTTTGTGGAAAATGAGCTCAGAGAGACGACAATGAACAAGTCGAGAAAGGTAGGGAAGTATGAGGTGGGGCGGATGGTTGGCGAAGGGACATTCGGCAAGGTTAAGTTTGCGAGGAACTGCGAGACCGGCGAAAGCGTGGCCATGAAGATTTTGGCCAAAAGCACCATTCTCAAGCACAGAATGGTTGATCAGGTGATTCACCTTTTTGTCTTCCCTTAAATAATTGTGTCTTGGATTGCGGATATGAGCGTAGCCACATTGGATAGAACAGATGCGCTCTCCATATGCACCGAGTTCAAATCCCCATATCCGCAGTTGAGATAGGTTTTTTTAGATTAGTGTATATTACAAAAATCGTTGTGTTTATGGAGTAGGCTAACTTCTATTCATGTTTCAGATTAAAAGAGAGATATCAATAATGAAGATTGTCAGGCATCCTAATATAGTAAGGCTGCATGAGGTATGGTTATGACATTCTGAATTAATGCCTCATTTCCGAGGACTTGTGTGAATATTTGGAAATTTGTATGCTATATTTGCGTCTTGGCATCTCCGCTGATGTGCATTTTTTTCTTTGGCCCTGTTCCTCTATGCCTTCTCCCTTCGAAATACTAGGTTTTGGCTGGTCGAGCGAAGATATTTATAATTCTCGAGTTTGTAACTGGAGGAGAATTGTTTGATAAAATTGTAAGGCTACTTCTTCAAGATTCGGACCATCATTATAATCAATACACTTACATTCCTATAGGCGTGTCGTTATTTTAGAAAATTTTAACGTTTAAATTTTTATCTACAGGTTCACCGAGGAAAGCTTCCTGAAAATGAATCCAGGAAATACTTTCAACAGCTTGTGGATGCAGTTGCCCACTGTCACAGTAAGGGTGTGTACCACAGAGACCTGAAGGTGCAAACCAATATTCTGTTGGAGCTAATTTCCACTTGCTTTTGTGGCTTCTATACGGTGCTGTGGTTCTAATGGTTTCCCTTTCTTTTCCTTGTGATGTACATTTACAGCCCGAAAATCTTCTCCTTGATGCTTATGGAAATTTGAAGGTTTCTGATTTTGGACTAAGTGCATTGCCCCTGCAAGTAAGGATGATCTTGTTATGTTAATATTCAAACACACTTGAGAATTTTAATTTTATGCGTATGATTTTCTTGTACTTTACCCTTTCGTCTTTTCTCCTCATCTATCTCTCTGACCATTGCTCCTGTGTTGCCTAATCCTTGAGGAGGGGGACGGTCTTCTTCGCACCACATGTGGAACCCCAAACTATGTTGCTCCTGAGGTACAATTTCTAGAAACTTCACTGCTGTATTCACCCCTTCCACTTGATGAGATAGCTATCTTGTCAATTCATAATTTGTGCAAAAAAAAAAAACAATAATTATAGGAGTCAGCTGGAGAGAACAAAATCTTATGCTAAATATTTTTTGTTACCAATGCCCAACAGGTGCTCGGCGATCAGGGTTACGATGGAGCTGCTGCTGATATTTGGTCATGTGGGGTCATCCTGTATGTTCTGATGGCTGGATACCTCCCATTTGATGAGACAAATCTATATACCCTCTATAGCAAAGTATGTTTCCATTGTTCGACTTAGTAAGAATTATATCAAGTTATACAATGTTTGGAATGTTCATGTCTAACACAATGGTTTCCTTCACTATTTCAAACATTTTGCACAGGAACTTAACTTTTTTCTATTTTGTGCCTTTGAGAGGTCTTGTATATTGTAACTATCCTATTGCATGCCTACTCACATACTTGGAAATGCTGTATCACAGTATCAGCAATGCAACCAAGATAGGCTCCAGAACACATTTATACTTTTATGACCCTTGGGAATGCGGATTTGATCCCTCCTGTCATTCCTTCAATGTTTTTATATATGGACTCTGTGGATATTGCTAGATAGTATGAGATCTAACTCTTTTGTTGTCTTGTCTGTAGATTACTGCAGCAGAGTTCTCCTGTCCATATTGGTTTTCTCCCGAGGCAAATAAATTGATACAAAAGATACTTGATCCCAATCCTAAAACTGTGAGTATATTCAGATATTAGTTATTTTTTTGCCAATTGATTAAAGGTCTATACGATTAACTTCACACTGTATTTTATTGATCAAATTCAGCATCATTATACAAGTATTAATAAAATTAATTCTAATTTTTTGGAAGCCATACGGCGATAGAGTATGTGTTATAATCGAGAGAAAAAACTGGTTTCTACAATCAGTTAAAGGAAAAGAAAAGATAAAAAGAAAATCTACATTTTTTGGAGTGTTAAGGATTTTCCTAACTTTGTTTAACTGGTCCATGTTTTAATGCAGCGAATTCGGATTGATGGTATCAGAAATGATCCATGGTTTAAGAAAAATTATGCTCCTGTCAAATATAGAGAAGATGAGGAAGTAAGCTTGGATGATGTTCGTGCAGTCTTTGAGGATATTGAGGTTGGTTAATGCATAGTTGTGTTATACACTTTTTAAGAATTCTTCTAATGCATAGTTGTAAAGTTTTGTGATTTACGTTATGGTGAAGTAAAGATTAGTAGGATGCGGTAAACTAGTGATAACCTAATGTCTGCAGAGACTTATTTAATTGGCATAGTTTATGCATTTCTAAGTCTATTTCATAACTAAAGAAGAAAGTATTTCTACACTATTGGTATTATGTCACAGGATCAATATATAGCGGAGCGGTCAGAAATTAAGGATGGTGGTCCTTTGTTAATGAATGCGTTCGAGATGATTACCCTATCCCAAGGGCTAAATCTATCTGCATTGTTTGACCGAAGACAGGTATGGTTGTATACTTTCAGCACTTGTGCTGCCACATATTTACTCCCTTGCCCAATTATTGGCCTGCCCTTAACTTGTTATTTTGTTAAAACTTATAAAGCTCTTACCTTTTGCAGGATTATGTAAATCGGCAAACCCGGTTTGTTTCCCGCAAACCAGCTCAAGTTATAATTTCAAATGTAGAAGCTGTTGCAGAATCAATGAGTCTCAAGGTCCATACGCGCAATTACAAGGTATTATTGCACCTCGGCTTCAGCCGTCCAACATTGACTAATGTTCTTAGTTGAGGGTTGAGTATGATTGGTTGGGTTACCCTAGTACTTTGTATTGGAAACTAATATGTACTCTGGATGATGCTACCTGAAAATCATTTGGTTCCTTTTTCTCCTTTTATTTAATATCATGTTCTGATTTCGTGTTTGAATTTTTGCACCGCAGACAAGACTTGAAGGAATATCAGCAAATAGGACGGGACAATTTGCAGTTGTCCTCGAGGTAATCTTTAAGATTCTCAGCATAACCACTGTAATTATGTTCCCAAAGGAAGATTGGATTTCAGTACAACTACTATTTAACATGATCGTTATCTTTTGCATATAGGTTTATGAAGTTGCACCATCCCTTTTCATGGTAGATGTTCGGAAGGCCGCAGGAGATACTCTTGAATATCATAAGGTTAGCTTCTAGTGAATTCAATTCTAGTTCGTTGTTGTTTGCCTATCATATTTGGCTGCTACAATATGTGATCGTTTGACGAGTCTCAAGTACTCATAAAAGCATTCCGTGATTCGGATTTTGTTTCTCCTTGTACAATATTTCTTTGAAGATTGCGTGCTCGCATCAGTTAATTTATCTTTCCTGTGATTCTTTACGGTTCGTTTTGCAGTTTTACAAGAATTTCTGTGCCAAATTAGAAGATATTATTTGGAACCCAATAGAGGGTACGGGGTAGTTCGAACCATCTTAGAACAAGGACTTGCTGATCCATTTCCTTGGGTGTGAAGCAAATCAGCGAGCAGACCAACAAAGGAAGGCTATTTCTCTAGGGACATTTTCTGAAGCTAGTGTGTCCTTCACATGTTGTATTTGCTTGTAATTTTGTTCTGTAAGTCTGTCGTTTCGATATTATTAACCCTGAAAACATGAAGAAGAAAAATGTAGCTGATTTCCGTTGAGAGATATCGCCATGTATTTATAGTATCTGCCGAACATGATTCGCAGAATGTATAAATCGTGAAGATTGTTCATTTAGTCCACCATTATAGCAGTTTCTTAATGTTTTCAACAAGTTTTCTCTCTTGCATCGACATTTTCACTTTAGAAAGTATGTCCTATCACTAAATGTATATATGTATCTACGGGTCTATTTCTCATCACAGCACGTGTTTATATACAATTGGTGGCACCTGAGAATCTCTCTCTCTAAGTGTCATCTATTGAGTTATGTTGCGATATGGGTATTGACGAGAGCCACCAACATATGATTATGTACACCGACGAGACTCAAAGAATCTCGTCGAGTTATATTGTAATGATTTTAAAGGAAATCCAACCCAAAATTCTGCAAATGAATGTTTTCAAGTAATCACAATGAAAACAGCAACAATCCGAAGGGCTTCCCTGCCTCAATATTAAAGAGCAATCCATGGAAGGACTTTAGAGCTCATAAGTCTTTGTATCAACATCATAGCTGCTTGAGTACATAGGAAGCAGGGACTCCTTGCCGACAAAGTAAATGCTCTTAATCACTTGAGCTACATGCTGCTTGCAGAAACATCGTTACATTAAACTAAAATGTAATATATTCAAGGATGGAACAACTTGTTCCTGCATCTGCATTTCCAAGAGAGGAGATAATAGTTCTCATCTCCCTGATAAGTTGTTGCCTCGAGATTACTGCTCTTGTGGTGTGAAGAAGCAACCAGAGTGGCCGTACAAGGCCTGCAACTCATGCATTTGTTCGCACATTGCGGCGGCCTCGATCCCAGCACCGTCTTCATTTGATTTTTTAATCGTTGATCACCATCTCTCTTCAACATGGACTCAGCTACATTTCAAAGGAGAAAATAATTAGAAGAACCAAGATACATATTCAGTAGGAACAATTATTCACACGCCAAAAAAATTGTAATGATGGAGACGGAGTCCAAGACAACTAATTTGAAGGGCTAATAACAATTCTTTTTTAACAGAGCGATGTCTTGACTTAAATGGGTTCGTTTCGGTTACCTGAAATGGAAGGAAAGAATGTGAGAAACAAGATAATGACAGTGATTTTTAACCCATTTGGGCATTTTCTTAAAGAAGCCATCAATGGAAAAGGAAAAGAAGAAGAAGAAGAAGCAGCAGCTATGGTTTATGAGTGTGACTTTGATCACTGGCTGAAGCAATGCATCTTCTGAGTTTTGATGGATGGATGATATTGTTTTTTAAGCTTTATTCTGGAGCAAACTGGCAGTTTATCTGACTTTAGGTTTCAGTGTGAATGACCGAAGTTACAAGTTTTTCTGCCTAAATTGACTTTTCCTTGCCTGCTTTTTCTAATTGTTGGTGTACAAATGCCCCTCCACCTTTTCGTCATGCAAACCCTTTTATCCCCATTTGCTTTCTTCTCTGTTAAATAACATATATGAGCTTCAATTTCGTAAAATATTTCAGTAGAACAGTCTGACTACATTATTTGTAAGACAACTCTCGTAAGAAGATTAATATATTCTACCCCATATTAATTATACTAGTGTAAAATATGATATGTCAGCAACCTTGCCGAAATTTCTGTGCTAAATGTTGACCCCATGTGAATGGAAAGTAGCTAAAGATATACAACTCCACATAGAGTTGGAAGATAGTAGGTTTTAAAACCTAAAAGCATTTTCTACAGGGTGTTACCAAGTTTTCTTAAGTTGTAAACTTTGCATTAATTGCCATGCCAACCACCATGATCACATTGATTGATGAGGAACTGTGTACCAACTCAAAAGTGAAGAGCTCATGCTCATGCTTCCAGGAGTTGTACAGATAAACTTACATTTTGCAGTGGTGTGTCATAGAATTTTTTAAGTTTTTTATTTTTTGTGATAGACGACGATCTTCTAGTTTGCTCTAGTGTACTTATAGACGACATCGACCATACTATAAATTTTTATTTTAGTGAGGGCGAAAGAGAAACAACAATTTGCTCAAAAGGCCTCATCAATCCATGTGTTTTCTTATAAGATTAAGAATGGCATGAGTGGAATTCTAATATTTTTCTTTTTCTAGAAACAGGGAAGATTCTGTGCACAGAGACAGTCTAACTGCTCAACATCTGAGGCTTCAGAAGAACCACATGCTGAGAGGACGCAGCAATAGTGGGCTATCGAACCCCCTACCACAAATCACGCATTTAAACGTATCTTATAAAAGTATGAGATTATTTTATGTTTTAGTCTTACCGACTGCATGTGATTTCATTCAATTCAATTGCATTAGTTAAATAATCTTACTAAAGTTTCCTTTAGCAAAGATATATTTTAATCTCATTCGATCACACGTGATCTCATCTAATTACGCTAGTTGGACATTCTTACCAAAGTTTCGCTTAGAGATACATAAGGACAAAGAGTCATTCAGATGATAAAAGAATCAACACTGTAGCCATATGCCATTCTTTCACCAGACCAGAAAAGATGGCTGCTTTGCTTGCTTTCACTACCTTGGGTAGCTCAACCACTACTCAGTCACCAGTTGCATCACTCTGACATTTCTACCACCTCACCCCACCACCATGTCTTCACTGTAAACAACAATGGAGATACCACCACCACCTCCAAGTTTCCAACTGTTGCCCTCTAAAATCTCATGAAGTGTCATTCATTTAAACGTGAATTCGGTCAATTAACCAGAGCACATGCGCCGTTCGTTTACCCTAAGAGAATCGTAAGTACAGATGTTGGATGTTGCCTCTCTCTCGATCGGGTGGAACTGCGGACGGAGACGAGAAAAAAACAGACGGATGGAGATTCTGTTCCCTCTCTTTTTTTTCTCCCCTCCCTCTCCTGTTACACATTTTTTTTTTTGAAAAACTTTAACGAAAAACCTTTATTACTGTTTATTTTAACGAAAAATCATATTTTTACACTAAAAAATCAATTATGATACTATTCATTTTATTATTTATTTTGTCCTTATTGTTAAAACTCAAAATTTTCAAGTCATTTTTATTAGTTATTCTTTTCTTTCCTTCTCTTTTCTCCCTTTATAAAGATGAAATCGTAAGCGTCCAAACATAAGGAGAGAAAGGGAGAAAAGAAAAATAAAAAGAGAATCCTTATCAAAATAAAGATACAAAAAGCCATATGTGTATAAAATGACATTCATTTCGATGTCTTTTAGGCAAATTAATTAAGGCAGGTGCACCGTCATTTAGTACTACGGTCTAATAATGATCTTTTTAAGTGAAAGACCTTAAGTTCGATTGTGAAATTGAATCACATTATTGCTAGTCTGTTGTGACGCTAAACCAACCCCCTCCTCTTTTTTTTATAGATAATATAATTTGTTCAAAAAAAAAAAAAAAAGGTATGTGCGTGTACGCTTAAGAGAATCTGCGTACCAGTGCCGCATGCTGCCTCTCTCAATCGAGTGGAAACACGGATAGAGACGAGAAAAATGGAAATACAAAAGACCCTTTTTGTGCGAGTAGTGGTGGAACCCTTGAACTTTGCCGCTCACCGTAATTTGACTCCGCTTCTAAATAGTTTAGAATATCGCATTGTCCAAGTAGAAGTGTCAATTCATTTTTCTATGAGTTACGTACTATCACTATTCTTTTCCAACACCAAAACCATAAGCCTCAGTTTTTGTTTTTGGTTTTCAATTTTCATAACTTATTAGTGAGGACATAAGATCCAAGAGAGAACCATCAATCACATGTATATAAGAGAAATGCATCCCACATATACAGAGGAAAAAGCTAATTACATTACTAGTATGTGCAGAGTACAATTCATAAACACGGAGAAACCTGCAAAGCTACGACTTGGTAGGGAAAAATAACAACCCTAAAACAAGGTTGCCATGGCAGAACGACCGGAGTCGCTGCCACCAACGAAGCCCAAAACGCAGGAGGAGAAACCCCATCCTTTGAACCGAACAAAGCATCGAAACACTAGATATGCGCATGAAAAGGGAAAACTAGTCCCGTAAACATGTGCAAGCCCGTAAACATAAACACAAACGAAAACTAAGATCTCAGACAACAGACTTCCATCAGACTGAAAATATGTAAAGCTTCATCAAACACGCCGACTAAGGAATGAGGGACGCAGCTAAAAACACCACGTAAACCATCCAGCGGAACAAAAAGAGGACCGAACGCAAGTGGAAACACCTTATATCAGCGGTTGGTGGACTGTATTCTAGGGGAACCATGGCGGTGAAGAGAGGCAACCTCCTGTTGATGAGAGGCTAAACAGTGGAAACAGGCTTTCCTGTTTGAGAAAGCCTGCAAAAAAACGATGATCATCAGGCAAAGTCCCCCTGGAAAACAACCAAGCCGCTGATCTACCAGCAAGGCCACTACCAATGGGCCAAAAATTATGTATGCTGAACGTGGATACGCGTGTGAACTGACTGTGTGAGCTTAACATCTTAGAACTGCCGAATCTAACCCGAATTCCTTTGATTTCTTGATCTTACCCCTACTTCATATCTGCTTCTCTCCTTCGCTTTATAGGCGTATTGTTCTGTTCCTCATTAGGCCAAGATATCACATCTCCACAAGCTGTCGACAAGCAGCTCAATTGATCTGTTGCTGATAGCAGTACAATGTTGGAGATTCAACCCCATCAAGGTCTCGCCCAATTTTTTCAGGGAAGGGAGGCTTTTGTGTGAGATTTCGGAACAGCCAGAAATGGAAAGGACTTGCAAGTTGATCTGCTCTGCGGAAGAAAGGGCAGCAAGGCCAGAGTCAGTGATTGCACACTTCGACACATCTAGCTCACGAAGAAACAGGCAGTTGTTTGCGATTGCCACCAAGCTTGCATCAGTAATCTTCCTGCACCCATCAAGATTCAGTACCTCTAGGGTTTCCCCATGCAGACTAACCAACGACACAACTACTTTATCCGTCAAATTCAAGCATCCGTTAAGATTCACTTTGACAAGCCCTTCCTCCGAGCTCTCGAGAAGTGAGAGAATCCCTGCATCTGTCATTCCATATAGACCACTCAAGTCTATATTATGTAGCTGAGGGCACAACCTTCCTACCATGGCCAGGCTAGCACTACCGAACCCAGGGCAGTTTCGGACGGACAAGGATCGAAGTGATCTGCAACTAGAGGTCATAGGTACTGCTAAACTTACATCCTTGATTCCCATGCACTTCACTAAGGTGAGAGATCTCAGCTTTTCTCCGCATTTTGTGAGGGCATAAATTATTCCCGATTGTGTAACCCTGTTACACTCCTCCAGTTGCAGGCTCTCAAGTGATCCTGCAGCTTTGGCAAAAGCTACCAGCCCGTTGTCGGATACAAAGCAACACTTGCGAAGACACATCTGCTTCAAACTTGTGCATCCCTTGCCAATGGCTTCAAGACTGACATCTGTTGTTCCCCGGCATGATGTGATTGTCAATGAAACCAGATTCTGCAAAGCTTGAGCATTACCCATGACCCAAAAACCTTTCTCGCTAACATTCTGGAGACCACTGAGAACTAAATTGGTAACAGCATTTCCATGATGTCCAATCACGGCAAGAGAGAAATCCGTGATGTTCAAAGCCTGAAGCTTTAACTTCATCAGCACGGAAGAAGCTGATGATAACAGACTAGATACTCCATGATCGCCAACAAGAACGCAGTCCCTGATAGATACGGATTGCAACTTGGAGCAAGACTTTCCAATAGCTTGCAAGCCCTCGTTCCCAATCCTTGAACACGATTCGATATTCAAAGAATTTAAATTTGGGCAGTTCTCTGCGATTGCAATCAAACCCTTGTTGGAAATTGAAGGGCACCCGCAAAGATCAAGCTTCTCCAACAAAGGACATCCTTTAGCTATCTCAATCAGGCCTTCGTCACCAACGGAAGAGATGTTCCACAATGAAAGAGACTTGAGAGAAGGGCATCCCTGAGCAACTGCCGAGAGGCCAAGGTTGGTAACTCCACGGAATGAGTTGCTACCTCGGATCGATAGCTTTCCTAGTCCTCCACGGCTACTGGTTCCAACAGCAATAGCAGCAAGTCTAATATCCGTTGCTTTCTTCCCTTCCAAACACCTTGTGAGGAAACCATCATTTTCCTGTTCTTGATCTTCATCACCAGTGATCATTTCAGCGTCATCAGAATTGTCTACAACAGGGATCTTGCATAGATCAACCTTCCAGATACTGCTTATGAGCATAAGCCACTTCTTAGAGACGGATGCACAAGAGCTCCTCTCTTTACCACCCTTGAGGCGCCTGAAAATCTCAAAGAGGCATTCATCGGGAAGAACGTTGATTGACGGATTCTTAATTTGTTCAAAATCGCTCCTTCCAGAGGCGTATTGGGAACTGATGCGAGCCCGCTTGCTAGGAGGG